GCTGGTCAGCTACACGCCTTATTGTGAATAACTCTTATCCTTCATCAAATCAAAACTGATGAGTCATCAAAACATTCACCCCCCCCCCACAGTGTGAGGAGAAGGGGCCGTCAACTTCTCAGATATATCTCGTTTTTTGAACCAGGTTGTAAACATGTTGATTCCTGTGGTAAAAACGGGCTTTTTTGGCTGTGGGCTTATGGCACTTCCGCTTCTGCAGAGCCTCAAGAGGAACCTCGAGGAACTGCAGTTTTTTGTACTTCTGCATAGGCTTCATTTTTCGAGACCGGAGGTTGCCCCTTGGATCCAACCTTCACAACAGGGTCCTAAGTCTCTAACTAGACTCTTCTCCTCTGTCGCCCCCTACTGGTGAAAGGAACTAAACTCCATTTGATCTGCAGAGTCCCTCTGCACCTTTAAGAAAAAGCTAAAGACCCAGCTCTTTATGACCACCTACCACCTTAATGATATTATTGATGATGATGGTTTTGTTTGATAATGATGATGAAGATATTTAGGATAGTTTTGATGCTGATTAGATCTCTGAAGAACAGCTGTCGATGTTGTGCTCTGCCTCTGGAGTGATATTTTTGGATAGTATAGCGGCTAAGCCTAAAACTTAAAGCCACTGAGGATCTACATAGACGGACTAATCTAGCCTATTAATTGAGGCGCTTGACGGCTTCGATCCTGAGCGTAAGAATTCGAAATAAGACAGACATGTCTTCTTCGTTTAGGAATATTTATTTCTCATTCCATCATTGTCTTGATTACTGTCACGAAACATCGCCTGTATGTCACCCATGACTGCAACTGGTTCTTGCCTGAATCTTATGAGGACCCTAGCAAGGTGCTAGTGAGATTGGGACCTTGCAAGAGTTGATGGTTCAAAGATGTCGCTTTGAACGTTGCACCACAGTCGAACATCACTCGCAGAGTCCTCTTCTTTGGGTGATATACACCGTGGTGGGGAATATACCACACCTTGCCACTGCTACAATCCAAATGATGTGTAGCTGGCTCTGCATAGCCTTTACTCATCAACTCATTGAGGCATGTTTTATATTCTTCATGGTACTGTTTGTTGTTCAAAAGCTTCCTTTTCAGACCAAGTAACCTTTGCTTCACCACCGGAAAGTTGTTGGGCAGGGACAGGCTGTCTTTCTTAAAGGGAAACTTCAGGCTGTAGTGACCGTCCTCCAGAGCTGCTGACTTTTCCACTCTCCATGAATTTGATGTCCTCCCTTGAGAGCCCATTTTCTTCTGTAGCCTTCTCACTGAAGGCAAGGAATGCTAGAAGTCCCACTAAGAAGCAACATGCAGAGTAAAACTTTTCACGCATTCTGTTATTGACACTATTGTAAATGTTTACATTTTTGTTTGTGGACTTGGTTGAACTGAGAGTTTGTGTGTGTGAGACAGTGCACACAATGTTCCTTGTTGACAGTGACCGGCCTGTGGCCTTAGTTAGTTTTAAGTCCATTTTTGTCAATATCATGTTGGTGTGTGACATTTACAGTAAATGTGGCTGAGCAGAGGTATGTGAGTGTGTGTGTGTGTGTGTGTCTCTGTGTGAGGGTGTGTGTGTGTCTCTGTGTGAGGGTGTGTGTGTGTGTGTCTCTGTGTGAGTGTGTGTGTGTGTGTGTGTGTGTGTGTCTCTGTGTGAGGGTGTGTGTGTGTCTCTGTGTGAGGTGTGTGGTGTGTGGTGTCTCTGTGTGAGGGTGTGTGTGTGTGTGTGTGTGAGGGTGTGTGTGTGTGTGTGTGTGTGTGTGTGTGTGTGTCTCTGTGTGGGTGGTGTGTGTGTGTGTGTGTGTGTGAGGGTGTGTGTGTGTGAGTGTGTGTGTGTGTGTGTGTGTGTGGTGTGTGTGTGTGTGTGTGTGAGGGTGTGTGTGTGTCTCTGTGTGAGGGTGTGTGTGTGTGTGTCTCTGTGTGAGTGTGTGTGTGTGTGTGTGTGTGTGAGGTGTGTGTGTGTGTGTGTCTCTGTGTGAGGGTGTGTGTGTGTGTGTGTGTGAGTGTGTGTGTGTGTGTGTGTGTGTGTCTCTGTGTGAGGTGTGTGTGTGTCTCTGTGTGAGTGTGTGTGTGTGTGTTGTGTCTGTGTGAGGGTGTGTGTGTGTGTGTGTGTGAGGGTGTGTGTGTGTGTGTGTGTCTCTGTGTGAGTGTGTGTGTGTGTCTCTGTGTGAGGGTGTGTGTGTGTGTGTGTGTGTGAGGTGTGTGTGTTGAGGGTGTGTGTGTGTGTGTCTCTGTGTGAGGGTGTGTGTGTCTCTGTGTGAGGGTGTGTGTGTGTGTGTGTGTGTGTGTGTGTGTGAGGGTGTGTGTGTGTGTGTGTCTCTGTGTGAGGGTGTGTGTGTGTCTCTGTGTGAGGGTGTGTGTGTGTGTGTGTGTGTGACTCTGTGTGAGTGGTGTGTGTCTCTGTGTGAGTGTGTGTGTGTGTCTCTGTGTGAGGGTGTGTGTGTGTGTGTGTGTGTGTGTGTGTGTGTGTGTGTGTGTGCCATGTCATGCCTTTCCTTTTCATCAGCAGGTAACACACAACACAGACCCATGAATACCTTTTACTTCATCACACAAATTGACAAGCTCATTATAAACACGTTGCACCTCTGATTTGTTATCATCTTTTTGCACATTTGCTCTTAATTTTCTAGCCTTGTTTAGCTCAGCTTTTCTTTCCCTTTGCAACATTTCCAACCTTTCAGCAAAGGCCTTAGGAGTTAACTTTACAGCATGTTTTTGTTTATCAACACCTGAAGTGTTCGTTTCCACTGATTGCGCAATAGCCTCAGCGGGGCTGTCAACGTCATTAACGCGCGTATCCATTGTTCACAGTCAGCTCGCAACACGCAAACAAAGTCAATCGTCCTGTGGCTTCGACCACCAATGCATTGGAACCTTTACAGGTTTGTAGCGATCGCTGTGCACACAAAATATGAATGGCCATTCATTAGTAGCGCTACACGTAGCCTACCTCACGTTGGGCGCCTGGATGATCCCGATGCAAACTCCTCTGCATGAAGATCAGCTCCTGAAATCCTCCCACAGGCACAGTCACTCGAACCGAGAGAAGCGATCTGCTTATCGGCCCCGAACCTCAGCAGGCAATGGTGTTGTAGCCGGCGTCCTCTCGCCGAAAGATGGATGCTGCGGCCGGCTGGCTCCGGTGTTTACACCCGGCTTGTAGTTTCCGATTTCCAGCGTCCTGTCAGCTGGAAACGACGAGCAATGATCCACTTGATTTCCGTCGTGGTGAAGCTCTTCAAGCGTCATTAACAACTTATTTGACTTGAATATAGCGGCTAAGCCTAAACTTAAAGCCACTGAGGATCTACATAGACGGACTAATCTAGTTTATTAATTGAGCCGCTTGCCGGCTTCGATCCTGAGCGTAAGCATTCAAAATAAGACAGTCCAATATCTTCTTTGTTTAGGAATATTTATTTCTCATTCCATCAATGTCTTGATTACTGTCACATGTGAACTGTTCAAACAATAATCCAGACATTTCAATTCAGATTCACTCTGTCACCTCATAGTGTACAGCAGTCAAAGAAGTGTATTTACTCCCCGTCTAGCAACACCTGACACCTCAGTGAAAGTTCCTACCTTCATAGATTATCATCTTAACCACAAGGCGACACCTGCTGGAACTATTTGTGTTCTGCACTTCATAAACATGGCTCCTCCAGATAGGTAGTCGAATTTAAATCAGGAGAGACGAGTGAATTAAGAAAAAAAAGATTTATTATAATGGATAAGATGGAAATGTGACTTGACAGAAATACTTTGGAGCTTGGACTCTATGGGGGTGATTGATGTTTGAAGAATAACAATTCTGAGTGTTGACAGAATAAATCCCCTGATGGAGTCCAGACCCTGGTGGTGCTGAAGCTGAGGACATGATGAGACCGGATGGGTGAAGAGTTGATGGATGATGATTCTGTGAAAACGGGCGGTGATGGGGAGGTGGAGGGGCGCACGAAACATCAACATGAAGGAACTAAAGGCAGAGAAAGAATCACATTTAAAAGAGAGCAGAACGATGATAGGCTGACAATGAAGGAGGAACGCCATGCCATTGGTTAGATGAGTACCGCTGACGAGACAGCTGATTATCCAATGACAGCTGGAGAATAACAGGGGAAACGTGAGCGAGCGTGCAAAAAGGGAAGAATGAGAGAAAGACCCGATCGTGAAGGCAAATATAAAGTCTTCCTGACTGAACTTACACCAGAGCTTCATATCAGAGACCAACATGTTTTTAATGTTTGGCAGGGAAAACAAGTTTTTAACAACAGAAAAAGACTGAAAGAAAATCTGCAGTACCATTTTCTTTTTTATGTGAAAAGATTTTTTAACAATATCTTTTATTATCATTTATGGAAAACACACACAGGTCTTCATATCTGGAAATCTGCTCCTCATTTATTCAGACACTTTATGTGAAATCACAAGAAGACACACACTTTGAATGTTTAAGGGCTTTATTGAAACACTAAATCTATATTTACAGACAGCTTCACAGAGAAACATTCAACATCCCACCAACCATTCAAGATCTTAACTCAAATAAAACTAACAACTTTTCTTTTCATCACATCAATGTGTGATCAGCTGAAGCATTTAAACTTAATATAAAAATATATATCACAGAAGAAAAAACAATAGTCCTGATTACTAATGAAAAACCTTAAAACACAAACATTATAAATCTCTTGAGCCTCGTTTAAATCAACACACTTCATTACTTATGCAGAAATAAACAGTACTGAGGAGCTGGTGAATGGAGGCTATGGTCCTACAAGCGGGCAGACCAGGTTCAAATCCGACCTGTGGCTCCTTTCCTGCACGTCATTCCCCGCTCTCTCTCTCTCCCTGATTTCAGACTCTATCCTCTGTCCTATCTCTACAGTAAAGGTACCAAAAGGCCAAAAATAAATCTTAAAGAAATAAAATAAGCGAAACTATTTACACAACTGGAAAACAAAATGTTTAATGTTTGTATTGTGTGTGTGTGTGTGTGTGTGTGTGTGTGTGTGTGTGTGTGTGTGTGTGCAAAGGGCCTGGCATCACTGATACAACATATCATGGTGTATGTTACTGCTATGTTTTCTACATGTTGGATTTAGTTATACTTTAAAGATGGAGTACTTTGACAAAAACCTGTATCAAATAAATCATGAGAAAACTGGAGCTCAGTTCATCATTAGATAATAAAAAGAAAAACATCTTCATCGACACTTAAAGACGCTCAGGGGGCCAAATTCTCAACGCTCAATTGTGTTTCTTTTCTCCGAGTGGTCGAACACAACAAGAGACCAACAGCAGGGCTTTCTCACAATCTTCAATAAAACATCCTCTGGTTGATGTTTCTGTATTTTACAGCCACACATCATCATGATGTCGGACACTATGAGTATGGATCAGTTACTGGGAGGTTTATCTGAGGTGTGTGTGTGTGTGTGTGTGTGTGTGTGTGTGTGTGTGTGTGTGTGTGTCTTTATTAACATATTTATCACCAACATTTGTTTTAGCACAAAGCTCCGAACACCAGAAGTATAAAAATCCAACTATGATGGATTTTAGATCAACACACAAATCTTTCAACACATGAAGAGCGGCGTGATGCCGTCATAGATTCATCTTCTGATTCTCTTCTCTCCAGGTGATGAAAAATAAATCATCAAGATTTCATTTAAATTTATTTAAGCGTCTTTTATCAGCGGAAAAGCTTTTTATATTTGAAACTAACGTCACCAAACAACCCTAAAGAAGATTTGTAAAGCATTTGTCATCTCTTTTTCAAACTTGTTTTCTTTGTATTTCAAAGATTTAAATTTAAATTCCCAACTCTGATCACTTCATGTCTGATACGATGAGAGCCAATGAATTCTGAGGAGAGCGTGTCGGTCTGCTCCTTGTTTCAGTGCAGAACGTACCCGTAAACCTTTAGAGAAAAAGACAGAAGAAAGAGAAAACATGACATTAAAAAATATTTATCATCACTTTTTTTACAGAATTTATCCACAAATCCAGGTTTTAACATCAAGGTCAAAGGTCACGGTGATTTCATCATTGAAGCACCTTTCTTTAAATCATCTCCCTTCACTTCAAATACACTTTTTCACTAAAATGAGTCATCAACTTTTTTACAATAACAAAGAAACGATCTCCTTTATGCAGTTTTATAATCAGATTTAAAGAATTACTGTAACAACCAAAAAGAAAAGAATAAGCTCGTATATGAAAACATGATAATAAACATGACAGGACTCAAAAACACGTTCACACACACACACGGTTTAAAAACTGTGTGTCTTCCTCTGATTCCTGATTCCTCTTCCCATTCACCTGTGACTCTCTTTTCTCTCTGCCTGTAGCTGTGGTTACCGCCTCTGTCCAGGTGACGCAGCAGCAGAAGTAATGTTTACATGCAGTGTCTTCCTGACTTACCACACACACCACCAGAACAATGACTAGATCCTGAATTAAAGGCTTATTTCATGTAACTCACTGGGTTCAGGGTCCTCTCTTTGTCTTTTAGGCATTTTGATTTGGAAGCATCATTTGTTGCACAGCCGGGTCGTTTACCGCTGTAAGATCAGAAACACAATGTTAGCACACATCCGACTCTGAAACCATCATTTACACCAGAAAACACTCCAGAAAGCCTTTTTCATTTACAGAGTTCATTTAAGGTCAAACTTAATATAATAAAATCAAGTTCTACTTACGGAATGGAGGGCGTTTGGCTGAAACAGAAAAAAAAAGATTGTTCTAGATTTATTTCACTGAAGGTTATTTAAGGTCCCCTCAAGAGAACTATTCACCAGATGTAAATATAAAAAACATGTTTGAATGTTTCCACTTTGCTCTCTCACCATTTCTCTTCTTATACAGGCAGAATCCAGCCGCACAGACGATGGTTACAAGGAGAACAACAGCGATGATGACAAAGATCATGTAGATGGGATTCACTGTTGAACACAAACAACACACAGTCACACAACCTGTGATCAAACAGGTTAAAGGTTCATTAAAGACAAAGTTTCTCCTTCTGTCAGTTAGCTCGTCTTCATCACTGTACCTTTGATTCATTTTCTACATGTAGTTGTTTTTTCCCTTCACCTTTATGTCTTTTATTTCCATGTTTGATTGTGGCACAATGGTAACCGCTAACGATTACATTCAAACCCTTTTTTCTCAATATTATTGATTTAAAGTCATTTAAAGGTTAATGCGGCTGCACTGTGGTAACGAGCGGACAGACGGTGAAAAACAAAACGATTCTGTCCATTAATAATCTCTTTAAAGATCTCTGTGTTTGTTTCATCCTGATCCAAACCTTTAAACTCTTTTTCTGAATACTTTTACAATTTGAAGAGTTTGAAAGAAAGAAAAAGTCACAACTAAACTTTCCCTCCATCACACGACTGTTACAGTCAAATCCTCTCTTTCATCACTTCTCATCGAGGTCTTACCGTAGTTGGTCTTGATCTCTCGTTTGTCCAGTTTGGTGACGATGTCCTCCTTCACACCAGAGAGCTGAAACACACAGTCGTACTTCCCCCAGTCATCAGAGGGCAGTTGAAGGTCAGCGCTGATCTGGAAGGAGCCGTCGTGGTTGGGGAGGATCTCTCCCTTGTCCACGTCCTCGTGAAGCTCCTCTCCATCTTTCCTCCAGAACATCATGGCTCTGTTGGGGTAGAAACCTGTAGCGTGGCAGGTGACCCGAGAGGAGGGAGTCTTCTGGAGGAGAGACACTGTGGGGAGGTCTGGAGGACAAACAGGAAGACAGATTAGAGTTTCTTTATCAGGATTTACTCTTAAATACTGTTACAACTCATGTTTGATGACACTTTTTAAATGTACTGGGAAAAAAAGGGACTTTAAAATCCAGTGAGTCAACAATGAAAATCAACCTTATTAAAGTATAATTCAAAGAAGAGAGGGTCAGAGGGGAAGAAACAGAAGAAGAGAGGTGAGGGGGGTTCAGATGGATTGATGAAGAAGAAGAAGAGGAGAGAGAGAAAGTACAATAAAAACACAGAGAAACTTTGAGAGAGAGCGATGAGCAGCAGAGAGAAAGAGATCTAACATGAAGGGAAAGGTAAGGGGAAGCTTAAAGATGAAGACAGAGCATGTGTGATAGAAACATGTGTGAAATATTTATTGTTCAATTACAAGATAAACAAGAAAAGAAGAAGATGAACATTGTCAGAATTCAACTCCATCAGGTCATTTGATCCTACCTGTTCTCATCAGAGAGCTCCTCCCATAGTTCACAAACTTCTTCAGCCAGTCAACGCACTCCTTGTTGAAGTAGTTCTTAAGATACTCTAAATCAGCTTTGTCTTTATTCCACTTCTCTTTGGTGACGACAGCCTGTTGTTGTGGAGCGACCCACGTCCATGTCTTCGTGTCCAGAGCTATGAAGTCTTCTCCATCATAACCAAACTGATCAAAACCATTAACATCTCCAGTCTCATCATCCCACTCACAGCCGTACATCCTCTGGTAAATGTGAACACCTGAGAGAGAGAGAGAGAGAGAGAGAGAGAGGGAGAAAGAGAGAGAAAAAGAGAGAGAGAGAGAGAGAGAGAGAGAGGGAGAGAAAGGGAGAGAGATTATAGTTGAAGTCCTTTTTGTTTTCCAATCAAAGACACAGCAAGTCAAACATACAGTTTTAGAAACGCATGAACACACACTCCTGAGTCTGTGTGTGTGTGTCTATGGCGCACCCGCTGAACACCAATCAAAAACATCCTGTTGATAAAGATAACAAAATTGCCTGAAGTGAATGAAAAAAAAAAACCATACACATAGCCTGTAAGTCAGGCTGTGTGTGCTACATACGCGTGGGACTTTTCTGTAGTAAGACGTGCAGGTGTACGTCCGGCCTGCATATATAAATGAATAAAATGGCTCTCCATAGTGTGTGTGTCTGTTCACTAAAATACAGGATCAAATCATAAAAATAATCCCTCCATTCCCCCTCAAACCCCCACACAGGACTACCTCACTGGACTGTAAAATACAATATAACATACATATACAATATATTTATCTGTATAGAAATTTTATAAATAGCTTTTATTTTTATATCTGTTTATATCTGCACCTGTAAATATTTGCTGCTGTTTTTATCCTGCACTACAACAAGTCAAATGCAACAAAATTTTGTTCTTATCTGCACTGTAAAGTACGGGTTTGAATGACAATAAAGAAAGTCTAAGTAAGTCTAAGTCTAAACAATCTTTTTTCAGTATAAATTGAATCATAAACAAACCTCCAGTTTGGTTGAAGCGCCGCTTTAAAGTGTCAAGGCTGGCTTTGAAGAGCTGCTGTTTACCCACAGAGATCTCAGTCTCCCACTCCCAGTAGTCAGCTTCGTCTTCTGTGACTTTCTTCATCCAGTCCTGTTTGGGTACGTCCCTCCTCATCTTACTGTCGTAGTAATCTACCTGAAAATCATCAACCATCCCAACAGACACAAACTCTGGGATGTTTGTGACTTCAGAAGACGCCGTGTAGAAAAAACTTATAAGAGTGCATCACTGTAAGGACAAAATGTTTTCATCAGTTTAATCTGAAACTTTTTGCATCATTGAACAAAAGTTATTATCCAGCACACAGAATCAAAAAACACTTCCAGTACATTCAACCAAACCTGATCATCTCTCTGCAGTCATTAAATACTCCAATTAATTTAGAGATGAAAAGAAAAAGTTCTCCTGGAACTCTTATTCTGATATTTCTGATTCAAGTGTTAGAAAATGTTTTTATACTGAAATTATTTATTCAACAAGTCAAATATTCAAGTGATGCAGTCATGCCCCTGACTTTCATTGACAGATATGTTTCATTAAGTGGATTTTTTATTGACTTCTTGACATCTCATGACTAGTCCTCACGTAGGCGGGTTTTATTATTTGAGTTTTGAAAGGACAGTGTTGGAGGACAGCAACAAAGAAAAAACTATTGAACAGTATATGGAGCACAGTTTAAGAAGCTGTGTAGACTGAGTGGAGCTGCACAATCAGCCAGCGCAGAAAAACTCAATTAGAAAAAACTCAACGAAAAAACTTCAACTAAATGACAGATCATTTCTGAATCCTGCATGTTGTCTGCTTTCTGAATGCACGTCGATCATTGTTCTGTTTTTAATCTGCTCTTTAGAAAAATATGCACTGCTCAGAACAAAAAAGCTTTTAGATAAATCTGTGCAGGAATAAATGTAACCACTTTGAATAAAGTCTACAAACTTTGTAGTCTTATTAATGCTGAATTGTTGAGGCTGCTGTGGATGTTTTTTGACTTTCACAGATTAAAACCATTTATTTCTTTTTGTGTGGGAAACACAAACTGAGCTGTGACGTTTCAGTTTGAGAATAAAGTCGTGACTGCCCTCTGGTGGACAAACTCTGTAATGCAGACTCTGTTTCTAAATGATGTTCAAGCTGCTTCACTGTTTTCTGTCACTTATCGGCCAACATAAGCACAGAAAACTAAATATGTGCAATAAGCTCACATCAGCAGATATGTGTTTCTAGATCCACTAAACAGTCTGATGTTTGACTTCAATGAAATGTTGGAGCTTCAGGGTTTATGTGATCTCAACTAAACAACAAACAAACATGTAAAAGATGAAGATCATCTGTGGAATAGCTTTGAGCTTATTCATATTTCATATACAAATATTCAGAGGTAAAACAATAAACCGAGATTAACTTCATTTTGAGGGTCAGGAGGTTGATTATGTTTCTGATTCTTTGAGCACATATTTGAGTTTGATCCTCACAAAATGAACTTTAATGACTGTGACACTCTGATTATATGTTAATTATCACAATTCATTCAAGTGAAATAAGTATTTATACCACATTAATTATACTACATTAATAACAAAACACTTTTTCTAACATTAAAGTGTCATGAAGGACTTAAAGAGTCCATTTAAATGCTCTGTTAATGGTTTTAGAGGTGAAACACTTTGAAGGCATTTAGTTCCTTTTTCTTTCTGAATCAGAGTCTATCTGCTGTGTTCACTGTAGTTATGCTGCTATTTTAACATTCATGGTCCTGTTCATATGAACCGGGCCTTCATCATTTCTCGGCTTGTCTTTTGGAAAAGATAACTAGCAGACACTTTTTATAGCCTTTCTCACAACAACACTTTTCTTGTAAGTATCAGGGTGTGAGGACGTGAACAAACAGGATTTACTAACGTCAAATTAAATGTTCACTTTTCACATTTCAACAAGCTGCTTCAGTCCTGAGAACAAACATCAAATGAAGCTTTCATTTCTACCAACAGTTTAAAGACATGCGACATTTCCCTCTTTCCATTAAATCGTCTTCAATGAATCTGAACTCACCTGCCGTCGTGTCGTGGAGGAAGAATCCCACGAGAGACACAAACACCAGAGTCTTCATTGTGACCTGTGAAGTATTCAGCTTCGTCCAACTTCAAACGTTTATGTTTTTATCAACTTCTTGAGAATCTGCGTGTTTCGAGCTCTGAGGGTGAAATGAGGTGAGGAGAAAAAAGAGAGCTGACTTCAACCTCTGTCTCAGCCAATAGGAATTCAGCCTGAGCATCGACGTCACTAGTAACTAGGTCAGATTGACTCAGACAGGTTCTGAACATAGACTGTTAACGTTACTGTTGTGAATGAAAGTGAAAGTTAACTCCGCTTGTTTGAGCCCATGACAGAGCATTGGGAGACACGCAGGACTTTATTTATTTATCACAGTAGTGTTAAACCTTCAGATGATCAGATTATTTTTATATATTTTGTTGGTTAATGTGAAGTTTTAAGAACAAGTGTATACATTTGTGAGAGTTCAAAGGTCAGATACAGGGATAATCTGGAGTTTGTAGGGATGTAGTTGAGTCTTGTTGTGCTTTTGTTCTGTATGGCTGCTCTGGGATTTAATAAAAAGTCCTAATCCAGATATAAATATAGTTTAATATAAGTTATAGTGAGTAAATGTGGTGAGGTGCTCTCCTGTCCTGCAGTAACTCAATGTGCTCTGTGATTATCAGATATTTAAATACACGTGTGCACAATCATAACATTGAATAATGTTATTAAATCAGATGAAGGAGGACGTCTTATACCTTTTTGAAGTACTTATCATTTTCTTCTTTTATCACTTTCTGCATGTGTTGTGTATAACTCTTCAGTAGAGGTCTACACACAGGTCTTAGCACAGATTAGGCCGACTGTCAGGACAATCACTGACACACAAAAGATGGTTTGAATGAAATAACATCAGATCACACTTTACAGATCCAGCTTTATCTGACAGGTTCAATGATCCTGAACTAGTTTGGAGCTTTGGACGCTGAAAACTGCTGGAACAAGAGAAATGTGACACCTTTGTTGATGTTTGAACACCTGATGCTGTGTTTCATTTTGCTCTGCTTTTTGTGTAAACTCAGTCCAAACCTCACACAGGCATATTGTTTTTAATCTATTTAACTTTTATTTTACCAGAAAAATATTCTCATTGAGATACAAGATTTCTTATTTCAAGAGAGCTCTGGCCAAGACAGCAGCATCAAAGTTTCGCACAGAGAGAAAAAGACTGACAATGAACAGAAATAACACGAATCACCACATCAGAAATGTTATACTGCCATAAAGATGGCGAGGATGAACTTTTGTCATCATTGGGGGAAACATAAAAGCTTCAAATGTACAAAACGAGACTTGTGGAGAATGCAACCTGAACTAAAGTTAAATTAATTTCAGTGTTTACACATAATCATAAAATATGCAGGATGAGCTCTGTGTAATATAATGATGAGATACCTTTAATTAAAGGATTTGATCTATACTTTATGGTGATGTTCAAAAAATCTGTTCCTTTTAAATAAAACTACAAATCACATTCAAATAATGGAGATGGGACGTAACAATTACCACATATGCAATGGAACGATATGAGAAAAAATATTCAATAATGATAACATTGTTCAATATTTCAATAACGATATGGATTGAAATAAATTAACAAAATTAAAGTGTCCTCAAAAGCTGGCTGCTGTTCTTCATGTCTAACAGAGCACATGTTTTTGCAACATGTCACTTCTAGATTAATTTTGTTTTTCTCCACTAATTAAGCTGATAGTTTGTTCAGCTTCATCCGACTGCATCCAAAAGGTGTGACATGGCCGTAATCCACAGGCCTCCCTACAGCTGGTAAGTTGAACACTGAGTGGGAAAGCATTTCTGGACCACATTAAAGGAAGGCATGTGTGACATTGGACACATAAATAAATCATAAAGTCTATCCTGTGTAAATGTGTCTCTGAGTCCTGACTGTCTACAATGAGGGAGAAGCTCGAGTCCCGCTGGCTGTGTTGTTGTCAGAGCCGTGTTTACATGGACGGGACGGCCGGCTCCTCCCCTTGTGTATAAAAGCTGTTTTAGTCAAGAACTAGAGAGAAGAAGAAGAACATACTCACTGATTATGAAATGTGAAGCTACGAGCTAACTAAAGAGCGCTAACATTAGCATGCTAACACAACAATGTGAAGCTACGACCTAACTAAAAAGCGCTAACATTAGCATGCTAACACAACAATGCAGGAAACTGGTGATTGCAGCTCGAGCTAAGGACAATTTTGCTCCGCCACTGGCAGTAAACTCCTTCGTGTGAATGCGAGAGGAGGGGGGTTGGAGGTGTGGCGAGTTTGTTTTGGTTTCATGCTGGAGCTCAAGGGCGACATCTAGTGGATCAAAAAGTCGCACATTCTTCCTTTAAATCCTAATAATCTTACCCTGAAACAGTGTCCTTATTCTTCCTGCCTTGTTCTTCACAGATTTATTCCGTCACAAATATCCACGGGCAATTGCAGCTTTAGGCGAGGACAGTTTTGCGTTACGATACACTTTATTGTTACCTTGGGGTCATTTGTCTTGGACTTAAATAATTTTGTCTGTCGTTTGCGCTTGACTGTTTCGTGTGAAAGTGAGTAGAGGGGGGTTGGAGGTGTGACGCTGGAGGAAAGTGAAGGCTTTGGTATGGAGGAGGTGTGGCCTAACAGCAGTTTGTCGTGTTTTCATGCTGGTGCTCGAGGGCGACATCTACTGGATCAAAACGTCACACATTCTACCGTTAAGTGTTTTTTCAATCCATTGCAATAAAATAAAATTTTTGCTGTGTATTTATTACGAATGCTCATATGTGATAACGATAAAATCACAATTCATTGTGCAGCCTGAATGGCACCGAGTGGTTAAATTTCCGTCAATCTCATTAAAGAGGACATATTATCCTCCTTTTACACCTTTTTTTCCTGTGGTCTAAATGAAACATCTGTGGCTGTGCTTTGGTCAAAATATAACATGAATCAAGCACCAGAGGAGGTTTGTGACCCTGTATAAACCAGCTCTCTCAGAACGCTCCGTTTTGGTGTGTGTGTCTCTTTAAATGCAATGACCCCCCCTGAGTTTTCCCAGTAGACATCACTCCTCTGTAGCGAGAATAAGAATGGCCGACCTGCACAAAAGTTTTTCTCTAGGCTGGAGGTGGAGTC